AATAAATAAATAAATAAAACGCAATGCATCTTATTGAAATCGGTCCAGTAAGCCTGTTGACTGCACAGATTCGCGGATGGTCATAACGAAACTCTCTCTCTTTAGAGTACGCCTGTACATTCCATTGTTACTGAACTGTTGGAGAGTTTCCTTAAACATGTTAAATAAATCAGCACCTCTTGTTTCAGGGGCGCCTCTTCAAAAGTATACAAATGCCTACACAAAGGAAAGACAGAATGGGCCTGCAAGGTGCTCGAAAAGGTAAGCATTTTTCAAAGAATATGATATCTGATTGAAAGTGACACCTTATAGTCTGGTAAAAGTAGCATGCTGGTTACTACTTTCTCAGTTTCCTGCTGAGCTTACTCGCCATACTCTTCGACCATGAAGATGGAAGTATTACGTTCCTCCGAAACGACGGTGAGCTATGTCAGGCTACACGGTGTCACAATAAAGACGACAGTACTTTTCATAGTCATTACCGTTAGAACCTAAATATTTTGTCTGATAGCGAACTGATTTACAAATGGTAACACAACTGGATTTCTGTCAAATGTTGACAAGAAAACGTAACAGTTACAGGTATACACATAATCCGAAGTGAGGTTTATTCTCTATGTCAGCAGCCGGATCGTCTTCACCGAATGGTGCATAAATATTTGAAGACTTGAAGCGATGCTGGAAATAGTGATATTCTCTTATTTACCATACATAATTTGGGGCAGTGTCATGTTCACATGGGCACGCGGTAGCGTAGTTGGTTGAAGCACTACGCTACAAGACGGAAGGTCCCGTGGTTGATTCCTGAAGAGGCCATTGGATTTTTCAATTAACCTAATCCTTCCAGGCGCACTATGACCCTGGGGTCGACTCAGCCTCTAACAGAAATGAGTACCAGAAATCTTCCTGGAGGTAAAGGGCAGCCGGTGCGTAAGGCTGACATCACCGCCATCTGTGAGCCGATTGTCTAGAAAATGTGAGAGTCTCGACGTCTCAAAACCCTATGGGCCTCCACGGCCTGTTACAAGGACGACTTTACCTTTTTTTACATTTTTAAAATGTTCATGAAAAAACAGTGGTTCCTACCGCTCCATGCGGAGTCAAGTCAGAAGGACATTTCATAGGAATCTACTAATGGAAGAAAATTTACGAGAAGTTAATTTTGAAGATAAAAACATTTTGATGACACGAATCTGCTAACAACAATAAACAAGGTCTACTAATTCATCTGTGACAAGGGGAGAGAACTGTGAGGACAGCAATAGAGTGGTCTAAAGCATGTCCACATTACTCGTGTTCGTGCTCGTGTGACTCGCTATGCTCGCGAGTAATGTGGACGATATGACAAGTCACGAGACAAGCAAATTTTAAATTTTTAATTTAAAAACTATAACCGATAAATTAAAATACGACTACAGCCTATACACACTACGAGTAAATATACGGATCCTCACCCGCCGAAGCCTGGCGAGCAAATAAAGTAGTGTGGACGAAGATTTACGAGCACAAATAGAAACCAGACGAGTCTCCCGACGAGCACAAGCCTGGCGAGCACGAGCACTAGCACGAGTAATGTGGACGCACCTTAACTACCCATTACTCAGCTCTCCTTTATTTAAACCGGAGATCGTTTTCGTGCTCACAAGAGGCCGCACTTGTCCCAGACCTCAGCCAGATGAAACCAGTTCACACCTTTCAAAACTCGTTTCTTCAAGATTCGTTTTAATATCATCCTTCTACCTGCGCCTACATCTTCCAAGTGGTCTTTTCCATTCAGATTTTCCGATCACAATTTTTTATGGATTTACCATCTTGGTACATTCTTCGTAAATTTCCATCTTTTCTTCCGTTTTGATGACATATTTGGTGAAGTTTACAAACTCAGAAGCTACTCATAATTACTGACCTCGTTTTATAATTGTTATGTAGTTTGAATATTATATCTCGCTGCATACTTCAAATATACGTAGCAAGTGACGCAAATCCGGAGAGTCGGGGTTCGAATCCTGGAGGTGATATTTTTAATTAACCGCCGCTCCCAACCGGTTTGGAGCCTACCCAGACTCCTGTCCCAAATTCACGGGAATTCTTTTCTCCGGCGTTAAAAGGGATCTTCCGTTAAGCTGAACACTCACTTTCATTTAATGCCCACGTGGAGCTGTACTTCCACTCTCCCATACATCTTCATTGATATAGTGCTTAATTAATTAACACAGGGACACTTTTACTTTTGTAACATGCAAACATTACAGACGTAACACTGTCTCGCTTTTGTAAATATTTCCAAATGACAAATATTATAAACTTATATTTTACACGAGTTCTCTTGTGATATATTGTCACGTGTAGACGTGTGACTATTAGACGAGTTTTGGTTTGGATGATTGGATTTATTGACTACTTATACACATCAGACTGAACTACAGGCAATTACAGCGCTATCGCCAATCACAATTTACAAATCACAGCACCCGCTAAGCCCTTTCCAGCCTGCTGTTTCTTCACCAGCCGTTTCTTGGCAACGGCTGCAGCAGTGGAGATCCGTCAGCTTCCCACGCTCACAGCCTTTCTTTACCGACTCTCGTACAGCACTTCCTGCCAGCTATTGCCACCGGACCTCTCAATCCAATTCTCTGCTGCCACCTCCAACTATGGGAAGTAGATGTATAGACCCACATATTCTTCACCTCGGAACTAGTTGGAGGTGAGTGGCCAGCTTCACGGCCCAGTCCCTTTACCCCCTTGGAAAGAACTTCCGGCGCCCATTAGATAGGAGACTTGGTGGGCCCCAGAACCGGTCCGAACGACGTGGAGAGGAGAAAAATCTCGCCCTTACCGAGACTCGAACTCCGGCCACTGAACCGTCAANTCCCCAAGGTCATCCAGCATCTTCTTACGTCTTCTTCCCCGTCTTCTGGTCACTTCTATCCGCCTCTCTATCTTTCCTTCAATAACTTTTAGAAGGCAGTTACCGCGTAAGATATGACCAATCCATATCATAGAGAAAATTTGTTACTACACATTCACCTATAACATCATGAACCTTATGCTGCTGGAGCCCTCAGAACCAAAATTTGTAATTTTTAAAAATCCGTGATAACGTGCCAATCTGACTTTTGAAGTGGCAGCAACACAACACCAAGGCTGTACTAAATTTCGCATTATGTGCAACTTTTGTTTATATTGTTACGTGTATTAATGACGTAATAACGCGAGTTCGGATTTGGATGAACGGGTTTATTTACTTCTTACACACACCATCAGTAATTACACGTAATTATAGCGCTATCGCTATTTGTACGCTTTATAATTCCCTGTTACACACACATACACACTACTCGTATCCTGGTAACGCAATTAAAACACAGGAACTATAGAAGTCTCACTGAATCGCACAGTCTAAATATTACACATAAAGTCTTCTCTTCACAGACACAATTTTGCATCTAACTCTTAACTACTCTGCACTAGTAGTTACTATAGGATTCTGACGATGGTGTATAACACACAGAGATATTGGGTTTTCGGACTTTATCCATTGCCCTGGTTTTTAAGATAACTAAGAAAAACACGACGTTTCGGAAACTGGATCTGTTTCCGTCCTCAGGTGAGGGAAAACACCTATTCTGTTGGGTCCCTTAGAAAGAGTTAGCCAGTTTCCGAAACGTCGTGTTTTTCTTAGTTATCTTAAAAACCAGGACGATGGATGAAGTCCGAAAACCCAGTATCTCTGTGTACTCTGCACTATCTTGGCCAGCAGGCGTTCTATACAGTATATACAATATACACCACAAATATGCGTATTTAATGCACTCAACTGCATCAGCCTACAGTACAGACTTCTTTTTTATTCCTTGACACTACAGCCCCAGTGGGCCTAGGCCTACCTCCATGAACTTCTCCGTTCACTTCGGTTTTTCTAGATCTTACACATTTGGTAGGCCTCCTTGGGCGAGTGATCAGCTCGTCGCAAGGCCTCTACCTGTAGACAAACACAGGAAAACGCACACAAACATCCATACCCTGAGTGGGATTCGAACCCACGATCCCGGCTTCCGAGCGAGCGAAGACAGTGCATGCCTTAGACCGCTCGGCTACCGTGACCGGCACAGTACACACTTTACATCCTTATTTTTTCACGTAAAATTTAGTGTGTTGCCATAAATTAATGCACTTATATTTAGTGTTTACCACGTTAAATACGAGGCTTGCTGAAAATATTATCTGCTCTAACAATAAAGAGAATTCTGGAATCTGCCAGCAGAGTGTACTTTCATGCCAACTTTAGAGGATAGAGGGTGTCGCGTGGTCAGCGCAACGAATCCCCACGGCCGTTAATTTCGGTTTCCTACACCGGAGCCGCTATAATCATCCTCACGAGGCTGAGTGGACACCGTTCCAGACCCACTACTCAGAAAATCTGGTAGCGCCGGGAATTAAACCCGGAACCTTAGGATCTGTAGCCAGGAACTCTGACCACTAGACCACAGAGAACTTCGCCGACCAGCGGCGACGCTTGATCGGTTTAGTTCGCTTGCGGACTCAAGCCACGGAGTTTTTTTGTTTTGTTTTTGTGCACTTATATATTACGTATGGTTCTCGGAATAAACAGTTCTTTCACGAAGAGCCGTTACGCGGTTGGTCATTGTTTTCGAGCTGCAGCCTTTTCTTCGTGAAGCAGGTATTGAATTTATAAATAATATTTGGATGAAAGGTTTAATACCCTAAAGTAAACAGTCATTTTCAAGACCGTAGCTTGTTTAGTAATTAAATATATACAATCAGTAAGCATTAACTCTGATATCAAACTTCGTGTATTGATGATCATTACTCGTATAAAAATTGCGTATACCTAATGAAAAGTTTTTATTCTGTTTCAGCTTTTCGTCAGGTGTACTTTTATGTTGCGAATATTTCAAGAGATACATAAAAAATTCAATGTAGGCCTTCAAGTAAAACTTTCCCAGTGACATGTGTATGTTTACATTCTTTATATGGCATGCATGAATCGAATGTACGTAATTCTGGTCATCTGTCTCTTTTCGTTTGTTTCAGCTTGAGAACTACCGGGCGGGGTTTCGTGAAATTTATGTTGCGGAATTTTTCGAAAAAAAATGGAGCAGTTTAAGTTTTACCTAAAATTGGACACGTATGAGTATAACAAAGATTTTACACTTAGAACTAAATGCGTTTCAGCTCATATCTCGCTAAATATTCTCGAAGAAAGAAAGATTTCGAGGAAAAACTATAGAAAGAGATTAATCACGCATTTTATATCCAATATATATGCTTCGTATGTCTCGCGGTTTGCGAGATAATTAAACAAAAGTATAATTTCGAACTTTCATATTAAGCAGTCAGGTATGGTCTCTAGAAGACAACAGAGGTTTAGAAGAAACGCAAACCAAAAGAAAGCAATTTGTTCATTTAAACTGCATGAAAAGGATTTCGTGTTGTTCCTTTCGTGTAATACTCTTTTACAGATTAAATTTGAAGCTCATATTAACGAGTTCATGTAATCGTACTTAATTTACATGCGCGGCCATCTTCGCGTGAGTTGCACAGAACTCACGTGGAGACTGTGCATTCCGGTACGGTTATACGAGTGTCTTTCAGATCGGTTTATTGTTACAAAATATAAATAAAGAGAGAGCTTAAATGGGTTGCGTCAGTTAGACTACAAATGTGCTTGCTCAGTCTGACCCTTAACACGACTGCATGGTTCCGTATTTCTAACGGTAACCGGTCTCCTGTGAGAGCTGCGTCTGTCGTATTAAAGTCGGATTACACAACATGGAATTTTGCGCCTCGGGACGACCTACATCCGTGACACGCACAACACAACGTAATTAAACTCTTTACTGAATTAACGCTTTACTTCGATTCTGTCTAGTGGCCAGTGACTTAACGTGGCGCTTGCTTCTAATTTACACTTCACTCCTCTTCCAAGGCAGTGCCAGTTAGGATATGAGCATGAAATTTAACAGCCTTTGTAAGGGACGGCCGTCTCTGTGGTCTAGTGGATAACGATAAGAAAGACGGAGCAACAATATTCTTCTCTAATTTATTAACGAGAAAATTCGTGGGTAGATCTAAGGCTTGTATTCCTTCAGAAAGAGTAATTGTTATTTTTTTTTATTGGCGATACAGCCCCAGTGGACCTAGGCCTACCTCCATGAAACTCTCCCTTTCACTTCGGTGTTACTAGATCTTAGACATATGGTAGGACTCCTTGGGCGGGTGATCAGCTCGTCGCAAGGCCTCTACCTGTACACAAACATCCATGCCCTGAGTGGGATTCGAACCCACAATCCCGGCTTCCGAGCGAGCGAGCGAAGAAGTACATGCCTTAGACTGCTCGGCTACCGTGACCGGCAGTTGTTAATTACTGTATGTTTTATTTTACAGGGACGTCTGAACAGGAAGTTGGTACAAACTGAGATTGGAATTTTGCTTAAGCTTCGACACCCACACATCGTAAGTAGCCTGTAACTCCTCTATCCCCTTACATATTAGTTCAGAGTTCGCTCTATCTGGAAGCATCGTTTACTATAACTTTTTAAATCCCTCTTACCGTTGCATATTAGGTACAGCTTCCCTCTGTGTTGAACCGAAGACATCAGAACTGATGGCAAGAGCAGAAGACGTTCCATTTCAGTTAACGATCTATTTTACGAATAACGCAATTGTCTAGTTCACTGATATTCACTATTCGGCTGCGTGCGCTCCCCGTTGGCCTTTCAAATGGCCTGTGTCCTGATTGCCCTTTTTCTCTGTCTCCGAGTTAAGTCCCTTCACACTCGAGGTAGAAAGTTCACTGAGAAAGGTGAAGCAGTGACCCGTTCACCGAACCAGCCTGACTGGTCCTTCCTGCACAACTTGTAGTTTCCCTTGCTTCTGCTACCCTGAAAATTTTCATTTTTAGAAGCACCTGCTTCTGTCGTTCTTGCCTGGGAGTACAATGAAGATCGCTGTGTCATTCCTGGCCTGGACTTCGAGTCAGTTAAGTTTGTTTTGGAACGGGAGCGACATCTGTGCCTGCTTGGTCGGGGGCATCTAGTCGGGTCTATTTTCGAGGGCCTTAGGATGAAGATTGTATGTCTGAAATGTGTTTGGCGTTGGTGGATATTTCAGTTCTGTACCCCGTTGGCGTATCCCCCCCTTTTTTTAATTCGCTTAGTGGGGGGTGGAGCCCAACTGGGTCCACTCGGCACGGCCGCCACTGATTGGCCTATTGTATCCTGCCCCGGGTGATTATGATGTAGAATTTGGTGGAATGAAGATTGGCATGGGAAACCGAACTACTGGGAGAAAACCGGCCCCAGCGCCACTTTATCCACTACAAATCCCACTTGATCAGACCCAGGATCGAACCCGAGCCGCCAAGGTGTGAAGCCAGCGACTAACCGCTTCAGCTATGGCGTGGCCTTCGCGTATCCCCTTAGTAGGTTTTACTTTATCGACTGGCCCTACTGTGTAACAGTGTTTCGATATACGTGTATTAGTATTCCATTTGATTCTATTTGCTGTTGCTAGAAGTACAGTCTGTTTATTGCGTAACCAACTTGTTACTGCACAAATACCGGTGATCGCTTTTATAAACGCAAGTGTCTACTGCCTTATGTTGCGGCCTCGTTAATTGTGTGCGCTCTGTTTATTGCATCAATATAACCGTATTGTAGCAGTGTCGGTGATATATGTTATCCCTAGCCCTGACAACCCGAAACAGCGGTTACAAATGGGGAAAGGAACAGCTGCCCAATGTCGCCATAATTTTCACCCTATTTAAAAAGCATTAACTAATGTTTATCGCCTTACATAATTTAGTTGATGTATGGAGTCAGTATTCGGTTAAACAGTGGGAAAATGTTAACCGATTATAACATTGATTGGTTGATAACCCTGCATTTGGCTTCTATTACAGGTCATCAAGCTTATCGTTTTTTTTTTGTATTCGCTTAGTGGGGGGGGGAGTCCAACTGGGTCCACTCGGCAACGGCGGCCACTGATTGGTCTATTGTAGCCTGCCCCGGGTGATTATGATGATGGAGAATTTGGTGGAATGAAGTTTGGTAGGGGAAACCGAAGTACTCTGAGAAAACCTGCCCCAGCGCCACTTTGTCCACCACAAATCCCACTTGACCAGACCCGCGATCGAAACTGAGCCGCTGCGGTGGGAAGCCAGCGACTAACCGCTTGAACTACGGCGCGGCAAAGTTTATCCTTAGTCAGACCGGCAATAATATTTTGCTTCACCCACGCTTGTCCACTTCTGACCCTCGAATCCCTTGATGCTTGCTGGATTTCTCAGTACCATTGTCATTTTAGCATTTAGTAGACCTTGAGGTGCGTACAAACACAGTTCGCAATGTTGTGAAATTACTTATTCTCAGATAAAATAGGGCAATGAACATAAATTATTCACGTATTATACATTTGAATAGCGTTATTAGTGGTGGAGGTGCCGTAGAGAGCTTTGTAAACAGTATCCTGACGGTTCAGTGCTATGAAAGAGCAACTGTTCACAGTTTTGCAAAAACATTGCATTTTAGGGGACAAAATTAAATCTCGAACAGTTACATGTAGTGACAGAAAAAAAACTGTATATCGGTACTCGATTAGAAGCAAGCCGAAAGAAGTCTTTGCGTCTTTGGGCTGTTCGTTGTAGACTGGCAAAAACTGGATCTCACGTAGATACAAAGGTGCTGAAGTTACGACCGTACAGAACGACAGTCGTACATGGCATTCTGCCTCCAGATCGCAAAGAAAGAATTCTATCCTTTGGGTGATTTCTGGAACTGGCATTCAATGGACTTCTTGGCCTAGAACTTAGGGGGTTTCTAACGAGGCGCTGTTCACTCTAAGTCCTTACGTAAATAACCAGTGTAACAGATACAAGAATACAGAAAATCCTCTTGCTGTTCATGCAGTGCCACTTCAGGATTTAAAAGTTTGGATCTGGCCTGCAGTTAGCGCGAAATATAGTTGTTTTTGTTTTCCTTTGCACTACAGCCCCAGTGGGCCTGGGCCTACTTCCATGAACTTCTCCGTTCACTTCGGTTAGACTCCTTGGGCGGGTGATCAGCTCGTCGCAAGGCCTCTACCTGTACACAAACACAAGAAAACGCACACAGGCAAACTAAACATTCATGCCCTGAGCGGGATTCGAACCCACGATCCCCGTTTCCAAGCGAGCGAAGACAGTACATGCCTTAGACCGCTGGGCTACCGTGACCGGCATAGTTATTTTCACGAAACACTAAATTCTGAACGTTATGTTAGATTGACTGTGTCACGCTTCATCAGTTAGCTGATTGATGAAGGAACCTCCTCGGACATTTTGTGCCTGATGATATAACGGCATACACTGTGGTGAGGTCTGTGGATGCAGTCGATGTAGTCTTGGACAGTGAGTTATTATAAGTCAAGGTTTATGGCCTCCGCAGTCCTTGTAACTTTCATTTGTGGGGCACACTGAAATCCGGACCCTTTGGAAGAACCTGAAGAGCACATTAGGTAATATGTCTCTGCTATTCCCATACAGCAGCTTAGACATGTGTATAGAGGCATGCTTAGAAGCAGAGGGTCGTCACTTCAGGCCCTTCCATAAAATAAATGTAAGCTATAGCGGAGAAGCGGACTATGAATTGTCGGTTACGGCAGCAGATCATGCCAAAACAGTGATGTGTCAGCTGTGGCAACCGTTTTAACGATAAACTGCACATTCTATATAATATTGTGATGAATATGACCATTGCTACGCAACGGTTAGATAAGCATGTTCTCGCTGCAAAGAATAGACGCGGAATAGTCCATTGGTGTGCAACGGTTCTGTAAGCACGTTGGCGCTGCAACGGATAAACACAAAAAACAGACTAGCACAGAAACTGAAAGACATGGTGACTTATATTCGGTTCGCTCCGATGTTATAAAGAGTTCAGTTCATTTGCGAGTGAGCCAGAAGGCCCCCGTGTGGAGGCGGGGTCGAATACCTCCACCGTGACCATGCGAGTCCTAGGAGGCGACGAAAAGGGACGTCTCAGATCTGAGACAGTAAAATATGGTAGCGAGTCCCAAGGGACTCGGACCCGAGAAAAACCGCGCTGGAAGGACAAAGGACAGACCCGTCCTCTCGTCAGAGAGGGCGTCCCACAAAAATAAGACAGTAACTGTCAAACAGTAATAAATATCTGGTCATGTGCCCCATGAGGGTGCTCGACACCGAGACTTACTGACTGACAGGCCCTCAGTCGCTATGTGACTTTGACTTTGAAGGGAAGTCTCAAATCTGAGACAGTAAAATATGTTCTCGAGTCTCAAGGGACTCAGACCCGAGAAAGACTACGCTGGCAAGACCCAGTAGCATGTAAAAAAGACAGGCCCGTCCTCTCGTCAGAGAGGGTACCCCACAAAAAACAAAACCATAACGTTCAACAGTAATAAATGGGGCTCGACACCAAGACTTACTGACTGACTACCGTCAGTCGCCAAATGACTTGGACGTGGACTTGGAGTGAGCCATCCTTCGGCATTCGTCGCTCGTTAGGGATTTGAGTGTTAACCTGCGAACAACGGAAGCAGAAGAAGTGACCAACTCGTAAATCAGAACGAAGTCAAGCACGATGGAAGAGAAGACACTCGTAGTCCAGTAAGGACTGGAGCGAGCATAAGTCATTGATTGTGAGCTGTTATAATCGACTGTAATTGTAAGTGCCAATAAATCCAATCATCCAATCTGGAACCCGTTATCATCAGTTACGCAAACCCCTCATAAAAGTAAAGTAAGTAATGGTATCCCTGTAAGAGGCCGCGAAGGCCCATAGGGTTGTGACACGTTGAGGGTCCCACATAATCTCTAGACAGTCCGCTCATAGATGGCGGTAAGGCTGTCAGCCTTACGTGCCGGCCGTCCTTTACCCCCAGGAATATTCCAAGAATATTCCTGACACTCATTTCTGTTAGAGGCTGAGTCGACCCCAGGGCCATAGTGCGGCTGGAAGGATTAGGTTAATTGAAAAAAAAATCCAATTACCTCATCGGGACTTGAACCCGCGACTTTTCAGCTTGTAGCATAGCCCCTCAACCAACTCCTCATACATGACAGTATATTATATTATAATTTTTAATATCTGCAACCCATAAGATAAAAGTTTGTTATATTCTGTATGAAGAGATGACCACATATGAAATATCTCTAGAAATTTGTTAAAATTGCGACTGTCTATAAGGATTCTACGTTCATATCAGAGGACGAAACATGAAAACAGAAATGCATTAGATCTGTGCCAGGTTACGGAAACCTTCTGAAGTGCTGTGCCCTACGCGTGTGGCTAGTGCAGTGAATATACATATTGCTGTTAACAATTGCCCAGCGGAAGCCGGGCTGGACTACCAAAAGGTCGAATTTCGAGTCCCGGTAGGTTTAAGTTTGCCTCTTCTCCACATCGTCCAGACCGGCTCTGGGGCCCACCCACCCTCCTATGCAATGGATACCGGGCGCTTTTTCCCCGGGGGTAAAGCAGCCGGGGCGTGAAGCTGACCACTTACCGCCAAATAGTACCGAGATCAAGAATACGTGGTTCTGTACATCTACTCCCCCATACGTCTTGATGGCGTAGTGTTTAATTAGTTAAGCACAGGGACAACTTTNGGGCTGGTACAATAGGCCAGAAGTGGCCGCAGTACAAGGGACTTAGTGCCACCCCACTAGCAATAAATAAATATATATATATATGTGTGTGTGTGTGTGTGTGTGTATGTCTATCTATCTATATCTATGGCAGCCCTTTATTGGACCTTGACCGCTTTTTCAGTTTCTTAATCCTATACGCATTCGGTAGGATTCCTTGGACAGGGGATCAGCCCATCGCAAGACTACTACCTACACATAGAACAACGCAGACAAATATCCATGGCTTGAGTGGGATTCGAACCCACGATTCCAGCATTCGAGCGAGCGAAGGCAGTTCATGCCTTAGGCAGCTCATACACGTACAAGTCTGGCTCGCGAGTCCGGCTCGGCGAGGACCCGGGCTCGGAGTAATTTCACCACACACGTATGAGCGTGGCGACCCACACACGGACGAGTTTGGCTCATTGGAACCCGAGCCCTTAGATCGCGCAGCCACTGTGATCTCTCTCACTCTTTCTCTCTAGTATCGTAAAACGCCTCCTCTTAATCTACTTTTAGTCTATTACAACATTATTTTGCCAAGTCTGCATATACCCAGCTTTTGGGACAAGATTGGCCTGGTTCCGTCTAGACACAAGTTTCATCAGGGTTAACTCGCCCTCTGATCCATAATAATTAAGTTAGTTAAAGTTTGAAACAGTTCTCACAAACATCAAGCTTCTAGCGCGACATGGAACCGTGAACGGTACTCATTCTTTGCCATTAGTAGGCAATTGTGACGTTTGTAACTTTAACCAACTTCCAGAGCTGAAGACATAAACGACTGTTGTAAAATTCCGTTTGTATTTGGAGGAAAGGCAACATATCTGAGTACGTGGGCTCTTGTGGGGGAAGGCAGAATACAAGAACTTCATGTTCGACCTTTGTATTTTAGCTGTTGTCTTGACTACATCCTTGTTTCTGCTGCTTTCTTTTCTTGCTTTCTCTTATACCTCTTTCTTCTTGCTTTATTGATTTTGGGACCAAGCCTGGTGATTCTCAGAAGGAAACATGAATAAAAGAATGTCACTCTCTGATTTGTTTTATAAAAATTCCCATTTCAGCAACTATATTGACTATATTGAACACATACTGTTACGCCCTTGGATGGAAGGGGTAATATAGCGGACATTAATTTAAGAAGTTTTCAGTAGCTGCCACCACATGGCCGTTACTGCAGGGAATTTCCTTCCGAAGCTAGGAATGGTTAAGATTGATTACAAATAGGAAGTTTCATTTTTTTATTGCTAGTGGGGCGGGACTAAATCCCTTGTACTGCGGCCACTTCTGGCCTATTGTACCAGCCCTAGATGATAGGTGAGGGTGATTGTGGAGCAATTGGTGGAATGAAGATTGGCAGGGGAAACCGAAGTACTCGGAGAAAACCTGCCCCAGCGCCACTTTGTCCACAACAAATCCCACTTGACCAGACTCCGGGATCGAACCCGGGCCGCCGCGGTGGGAAGCCAGCGACTAACCGCTTGAGCTATGGCGCGGCCAAGAGGAAGTTAGTTAAATACATTATTATTTGCCCTTTGTACACACCGCCCGTCGCTACTACCGATTGAATGATTTGGTGAGGTCTTCGGACCGGTGGGCGCGGGGGTCCGCCCCTTCNAGGGCCTCCCTTGCTGGACAGGTCAAAGGGTAGGCATCAGACGAAGAGAGACACCAAAAACTGATGCCGGAAGCAGCGTCATCAGTAGCGACTTGAAGCACAGAGCAAATGATGCTCGAGATGGTTCAAGTTCGTATAGCAACAGGCGTGACCAGAGTGGTTTGAACGGCTGCTGTACTGCGATGTGGAAAGCAAATGGAAAAACTACCACATTATCACTTTTCCTGGATAGTCTCTTTCCAAAAACAGAAGATCGCATTAAGTGGAGGAACTGTTTTGGAAGAGATTGTGGACCTGTCGTCTGACAGATTACTCATGAATGAATACATACTGATGCATGGTTGTCAGTAGCTCTAGGTGATCGGTAGTCTAACATTGCACTGCACTTCCTTAGCTGCAAAGGCGACAGTGCAGAACAGTAGTTGTCGAAGGTCCATGGCTCTCGGCTGGCTGTTCTTCTGGTGACGTATTAACTACCTGTCATCTGCTTTAAAATATTTTTATCAGTATTCCTCTGCGTCTACCGACCCAGAGGGCAACATTATATACTGTCCTCATTGAAATTCTGGTTACACTATATCCCCGCATATCCAGCTCAACAGTACTGGACACTTCTGGGCAACGTTGTGAAGACTGCACTAACGAACATTCCTAAGTTATAGCACTTCTGCCTTCTGAAATCTCTTCTGGGTACTGCTAAATCTAAATTTATATTTCTTGAGGAGCTACGTTCAAGGAAATAGCGGCTCCAGTCCAGAGAACCGAGATTAACGGCCGGGGGGATTCGTTGCGCTGACCACGCGACACCCTCTATCCGCAAAAGTTGGCACTAACTTCGCCGACAAGCGGCGGTCCCTCGGTCGGTATAGTTCGCTTGTGGACTACAGGCCACGGAGTTTTATAACTCTTGAAGTTCTACCGTTATGGCCTGTGTACAGTGTACCTAATGTAATAGAGAAATCTAATTAAAATATAAATCATTAAAAATTAATCGATTACGATAATTCGCTGTTATCTTTGCTGCGTTATCCGCTCTTTCGCCATTTGACATACTTCTTTCCCTTCAAACTGATTCCGTTAATTTCCCTTTTCATTTGTGGTCTTTTAACGAGAAATGAATTATTATGTCTAATAGACTACATTCTGTGTTGAACAATTTAATGTTGTGCCTTGACGTTTCAGGCCTGCGCATATCACGCAGAAGAGTTAACATGTTGACCCTGTAGGTTGTTATGATGAAGCTGTCCTGAATTACGACTGTCATAAAAGCCATGACGGCTCTCTTACCCCACTGTCTCATTTGCCGAACATTATTAAGGAGACGCACATGTCTATATGTCAGGCACAGAGAACAATCAATATTACGACCTACTTTTTCATGACGTCTTAAAACGAAGCCTAGATACCTACAGTTACGGATATACATTGCTTAATTTTGCATTGCATTTGCCGACCTGCCAGCTGTAATTATTTGGGAACAGTCACTTCTGTGTGGAAAATTATGCGACATCCCAAAACGTCGACGTGTTTCAGTCGAAAATACTCGTAGGTTTCTATTCCTACAAGACAATTCCAGCTGAACAGTTTAAAGCATGACATAATTAAATTGCACGAGATTGACATTTTAATTAATAAAACATGCCAAAATTGTAGCACAGATAACTTTTACGAAAAAAGAAATTATGAACGTGAAGGAATATCAAATGGGAAAAAGCTAGGCTTCATCAGCCCAAAAAGTAGTGAGTAATAAATACACTCCAAAGTGCAGAAATCTTCGCGGGAAGGTAATAAGCACTCAGCTAGTAAAAGAAACTCCCAGTCTTCCACGGACTCCGACGGTTCGTCGCCGTATACAAAAATACCGCCACTGTACGTTGTTTAAGGCAAAATAAAGGCAGCCCATCTCTGTTGAAGATAGTTTTGGTATTATCTTTTCTGTACGTATAGGTCCTTCAAGTTTACTCATACCTTCAAGCGTCTATTAAAACTTGTACTATATTCCATAGCCGCTATGTATCCCTGTGAAGCATAGGCCTCTACCTACCTACCTACCTACCCACCTACCAACCACTCGACGCTACAGCCCACGGTGACCCTTGGCCTCCTCTACAACCAATGCGTGCCGCCATAGCAATGGATAGCTGGTGGTTTGGTTTCTGAACAAAATTCTTTTTACAGATTGAGGTTGTTAGCCTCATGCCCAATCCCAACCTGGAGGACCAGGGTATCTCTCTTAGTCTGGACTCTACCCTTTGACCTTTCCGGCATCGGTGATCCTACTGGTAGTTGAACTACCGCCGACATAGCTCTCCAGGTTAAAGATTCGTGTAACCCCTCCACCACGACAAGGTGGAGACACCTTTGAGGGTCATAGGCCTATAGGCTTTCTAATAAGACATGAACATGGGAAGTGACAAATCAGATATTTGAACAACCAATTATGAATTTATGGTATCTTTCTGCTTGTCTGTTTACATATGACAGACAGAAATATAATTGAAATATTTTCTGTAGCATCAGTTTTCAACGCTACAGTGGAAATGCAATGAACAGGTGAAGAGCTCCTATTCTCCTAAGAAATCGAAATGTGTGAACAGGTAGTTCGACGAACTCTTATCACGTCTCTGCGTTTTAATAAATTTGTATATGTAGTAAATCATAAGTAAGACCAATAACGATTGTGAAATCTCGAGGAATGCAATAGTAAATAATTCCTTTCCGCTCATATTTACACAGCCTGGCCCTTCTTTCTTAAGTGGTTGAATCCTGTCAATCTGTATGTGTGTTTGTCCACAGATACAGCTGCGGGAAGTGTTCGAGACACGGACGGAGATCCAGCTAATTCTTGAGCTCGTGACGGGAGGAGAGCTGTTCGAGCGCATTGTGGAGCGCGGTCATTACTCAGAGCACGACGCAGCCGAGGCTGTTCGACAGATCCTTAGCGCCTTACAGGTAGGCCTCTCATATTACTAGGATGGCAGATGGGTTGCCCAACATCCATCATGAGTCGCTATATCCCGCATACGCAGAATATTGGGAATTTGTGAGTGTGGGGGTTGGGGAACGTTGTACGAAGTCTGCATTTTGACGGCTATAAGAATTACAGGGAGCGATCGTTGTGAGCAACATGCAAATTAAATTTTAAAGTGATCCGAGTTCGATGTTGACTGCTGTCTGTGTATAAAAACAAGAGGAGTCTTTCGTTATAATCAGAAGCAACCAACTATCAGAGAAGGCGCGCCATAGCTCAAGCGGTTAGTCGCTGGCTTCCCACCGCGGCGGCCCGGGTTCGATCGCGGGGTCTGGTCATGTGGGATTTGTGGTGGACAAAGTGGCGCTGAGGCAGGTTTTCTCCGAGTACTTCGGTTTCCCCTGTCAATCTTCATTCCACCAATTGCTGTACAATCACTGTCACCTATCTGGGGCTGGTACAATAGGCCAGAAGTGGCCGCAGTACAAGGAACTTAGTCCCACCCCACTAGCAATAAAAAACTATCAGAGTAAATATTAAACAATGCCGCGCCGTAGCTCAAGCGGTTAGTCGCTGGCTTCCCACCGCGGCGGCTCGGGTTCGAGCCCCGATCTGGTCAAGTGGGATTTGTAGTGGACAAAGTGGCACTGAGGCAGGTTTTCTCCGAGTACTTCGGTTTCCCCTGCCAGTCTTCTTTCTACCAAATTCTTCATCATCATCATCATCATCATCACCCGGGGCAGGTACAATAGGGCAGTCAGTAGCCGCCGTGCCGAATGGACCTGGGTCATGGACCATGTAGTTCTCATAGCACACATGAAGCTGTGACCAGCATCTCTGCATTTCGAAAGTATGAGAAAGAGGAGAGAATAGCATGAACGTTCCATACATCAGTACTTCACCACAAAAATCGAACCTAGTGTAGAGCAAAATACAGCATGTACCATGGGAAGAATATGGACTTCACATGTTAATTATATTTTGCTACAGTACCTGCATGCACATGGTGTGGTGCACCGGGACTTGAAGCCCGAGAATCTTCTGTACGAATCGGAGCATGAAGAAGCCCACCTCAAACTGGCAGACTTCGGTCTCAGCAAGATGCTGCATCGCGGGGACTTCACCATGAAAACACTCTGTGGAACAGTGGGCTACTGCGGTAAGTCGAGCTTACAGCGACAGATTTTGCTTACAAAATAATGTGCATACTTCATACAAAATGAGGTTCTAGCAGTAAAGTATGTTACCCTCAGACCAGAAATCAGTTTCGAGCACTATCGCTGGACACATGACATCAATGCATAGACGTTCCTTTGTTTATAAAATAGTGTCAAACTCAAACTCCGTGACTTTAGTCCGCAGATCCAGAGGTCCAGGTGTCGATTCCTGGCGCTACCAGATTTTCTGAGAAGTAGTGGGTCTGGAACGGGGTCCACTCAGTCTCGTAAGGATAACTGAGAAGCTACTTGAATGGAAAAGTTGCGGCTCCGTTCTAGAGAACCGAGATTAACGGCCGTGGGAATCCATTGCGCTAACCACGCGACACCCTCCATCTGCTAAAGTTGGCACTAACTTCGCCGACAAGCGGCGGTCACTCGGTCGGTATATAAAATAGTATATTCTCGGTTCATTACTGTTTCTATTAATTTTACAGGGGATAGTATTAACACTTTCTGTTGTACGTCCCTTTCTTCCTCCGCTGTATTATTTTGTTTGTTGGTAGCTTACGAACTAACATTGTAGGAAGTTACATAGATTAAACATGACTTGCTTTGGACTCTGCCCATTGCCTGAGTTCTCTCGAACACAAGGTTTCGGAAACTGGATCCGTTACCGTCGTCTGGTTTAAATGAGGAAGATTTCCTGCGCTGTTGTGCCCGTTGGAAAGAGCTAGTCACAAAGGGACTGGTGTAACAATAACTCTCTGATCTCATATTCATGAGGTGCCAGGTTCGAAATTCGGCCCGGACACTGGCTTTCCTCGGGCCCTTCAGGAAGTGTTGGGAAGTACCTCGACGGTACCTTCCAGATCCATTTAAGTTCATCAGCATTCATAGATTATCCTACTATTTGGCCGCGCCATAGCTCAAGCGGTTAGTCGCTGGCTTCCCACTGCGGCGGCTCGGGTTCGATCCCGGGTCTGGTCAAGTGGGATTTGTGGCGGATAAAGTGGCGCTGGGGTGGGTTTTCTCCGAATACTTCGGTTTCCCCTGCCAACCTTCGTTCCACCAAATTCTCCATCATCATAATCAACCGGGGCAGGCTACAATAGGCCAATCAGTGGCCGCCGTGCCGAGTGGACCCAGTTGGACTCCACCCCCCACTAAGCGAATCCTACCATTTAATGCTATATACTAGTAGCAGACACATGATGGTACATATCTTCTTCGTGGACATATTTTTATTTAATTTAACTAGTCAAACAAGGCCTAAATGGTTGTGAATGTTGATAAATTAGAATGTAATCGGCGCGGCACTGGGCATATCAGGCTTTGATGAGTGAATTTTACAGAGTAATTTCAGCCAACCTGCTCTGTTAAAATGTGGGTCCCCACTTCCAGATTTCAGAATAAAGGACGTCCCCTTTCACATTCTAATTGGCTCTTTTGAACAGTTCAGGAAGTTACGAAAGTCTGCATTATCCAGTGAGAGAAGATCAAGGAGTCCCTGAAGTGTGCTCAAACTTTGGAGGAACAGGAAACATGTTAGCGTCTTCAGCGGGAGGTGGGAGTTTAAGTATTAGATGACATAAGTGAATTTGATTAATGATTTATAGCTCTTTACTTGGATTCGAAACTTCAGTATAAAGTATGGTGACAGTACGTGCAAACACGCATATGCACTACTCCAAGATATGCTCTGAGTGGTTTTCAGTTTCGACAACTAGCACTTCGAAGCGCAGCTCTAGAGATCCAAACGGTCTGTGTTTAAGAAATTACGTAATAATCTTAACCAAGAGGTTATGTTCAAACTAGACAACTACGTCATAATTTCTGTAATACAAATTTCGCTGGCTGACACTTGCAACGATTCTCTTGACAGGAGTTTAAGACATTCAGCTCAGAGGCTCGTCACATTCGAACTACGAGTTCGAAAATTAATGGCCGCACAAACCTATCAAAGAGCCGACAGACTGGCGCCTTAAAATGTAAACATTTTATACTGCTACGTCGTATTGTCAGTATAAGGCAAAGAAATGCGACACTCACAATAATGACGTGATAAATGGCCGAAAGTACATAAAATATGTAAATTATAAACCGGTAAAAATAAATAATTGAGTAAACATCAAATATTTACTTTAGTAAAATAAAAACTAATATAATTAAAACTGCGAGAAAAACGGCCACAGTTGATTGTTCACACAAGCCATGAATGGTTTGCATTTCGTATTCAGTTCAGTTTGTAAAGCCCTAGCTTCGTCATAACTTGTGATATGTGCGTTGAACTAGTTTTGACTTTTGGATTATTAGGGACTTACCACTGCCATATTATTTTTCTTAATACTTTAAGATTTTATCTGCAAACTAGATATTTTTATTCCATCCAAAATATAGTTAACAATGCATAAAAAAATTGAGAATGTGAAGGCAGTGAAATATAGTACGCCTACCAAAGTACAATAATGTTAGTCCCAATATACTAAATCAGAGTAATCGTAATCCTTCGCCATAATTTACTTTCAGAACACTGTTAACTGATTACTGCGACGAATAGACCTATAAGTGTATCTTGCAGGACACTAATAAAAGAAAAAATCAGAGAAGAAATTACGTGGTAGGAGATTAAATTTGGACAGTTTCTCCACTGTTTAAAAGTCTTTTGTCTTCCCATCTATCTGATGTAAGAATTAAAATACACAAAACAGTAATTTTGCCCATCAGGCAAGTTGTCCCGAGCAGTAAAATTTCTGACTGTTCGGAAGATGCCTGTCTGGAAACTCAGCTTGGAAACTGTCTTTGACTGAAATTTTGTTATTCCACAGACTGACAGCGTCGTTAAATAAGGTACAAACTATAAAGATCACTTCAGCTCCTGTTTTTATGAGTATGGGACCTGATTTTAACAATATCTGTAAGCAGCAAATGAGGATTTTTGAGAACATGGTGCTCAGGAAAACAATTTTACCTCAGATATTAGCAGGAGGGTGGAGAAAGTATCACAATGAGGAGCTTCTTCATGAATGAGGATAAGATGGTTGAGACATATAGCATACATGAGGAGAGATAATAAATGGATGCAAAATCAGGCTTTTAATCAAAGCCTGAAGGAAATCATCTCATTTTTAAAAAGAATTGTGCTTATTTTGCCATGGCACTTACCAGCATGTATTATACCATTATATGGTACTCGCAATTCAATCTGTGGGGTTTAAACAACATGTATCCATGTACATATATTGATTTATTTGCATACAGATTATGAGAACAAGTCTTGATACAAAATAAAAAGTAAGAAGTATGTTACATGTTAATATACAGTATTTAATGTTTCTGTCAATGGCATTTAACTTATATTCAAGATTTCATTGTTGTTCAAAAAATTAACAAACAATACAAAATACATGAACACTGACTATGCAAGGTCACCTAAATTTTGTACATATTTATCAACAGGCTTTTTGCTGTCAGCTAAATTCAATGTGAAATCAGAATATTTTTGGATAGAGGAATTTAACTTGAAACACCTCCTCCTTTAAACATGGTCCATAAAACCCGCTTGAACCTTATCAAATATCTTACTCTTTACAGCTCCTGAGATTCTACTGAACAAAGAATATGATGCTTCTGTTGACCTCTGGAGTTTAGGAGTCGTCACTTACATAATGTAAGTAAGTAAAGGTATCCCTGTAACAGGCCATGGAGGCCCATATGGTTGTGAAATGTTTAGGTTCCCTTTCTACACAATCGACTCATGGATGGCGGCAAGGTTGTCAGCCCTATGCACCGACCGCCCTTTACCCCTAAGAATATTCCTGGTACTCAATTCTGTTAGAGGCTGAGTCAACCAAAGGGCCATAGTGCAGCTGGAAGGATTAGGTCAGTTGAAAAAAATCCAATGACCTCATTGGGACTTGAACCTACGACATTCCGGCTTGTAGCATAGTGCCTCAACCAACTATGATACCGCATGTCCCACTTATATAATGTAAGGTTTGGATAATGTTATATAATTATTTATGGAAAACAGTGAGATGGGATGGCTCAGGCAGTAAAACTGTCTATGGGCTGGGTGGTTAGGCTGAATTCCTGTCAAGGGAATTACGATTTTTCTCATTTTCATTACTTCCAGAATAGCACCATGGCTAACAAGTCTCTTATGTCTTGCTTGCTTAATTATGTTCACTCCAATTGTATGATGAATTTTAATAAATATTACTACAATAAATTATGTTCTATGATCAAAATGAAACCCATGTAAGTAGGAAATAAGTAGAACTGAAGAAAGCAGTCTTCTGGGATTTGGCACCATGTATATGTGGGGTTAACACCACATATACACGGTGTCAAATCCCAGAAGACTACTTTCTTCATAGTCACCACCGTGAAAGCCTCAAATCTTAAATAAGTAGAACTGTTACACATGTCCAAATATGCAACACTACTGGTCTTGTTAGCACACTCATTGCTCAGAACACATCCATCACTCGTGTGCATAACAGTATCCTATGTCAGATGAAAGATATACAGCAATCCTAATTTTCTTTCAGTACAAGTAAAATCAGTAACAAAAAATCTTTGTTTCATATTAGATTCAGTATTAAAATTGTTTTCTGTTTTTGAGAGTGTGTAGTTTGTGTGGCAGATAATTTGGCTTCCTAATCCAGGTTATGTGGATTTGAGCCTTTTTGGGATGACACAGGAGAGATGGCTGTATGTCGACATATTGTTGAGGGAGAATTCAGTTTTCCGTCACCTTGGTGGGATGACATCTCAGACAGTGCCAAGAATCTCATCAGACAGGTCAGTTATGCCGTAAATATAATGCTATAGTACATTATGTGTAGGAGTGAGAAAATTAACAAGTCCTAATATCATATTATCACTTACTTGGCTCAACCACCACCACCACATCTGCTGCCATGGTTAATAACAAATATTGATGTTAGCTAAGTAAATCAGGGGAGACTTAATTCATAATTTTGTTCTGTTTACTTTTCATGTTCTTTATGTGAGGTTAGGTAAGTTACCGAAGTACCTGAACATCATGGCATGAAAGTATGTAAAGAGTGTGGAGGTAAAGCTGTCTGAATTCTTTAGGTAACTAAATTCTATACACTTTAATATTAATTTTTCATGAGTCTTTTCCATACATTATTATTGTCATTTGTTTCCGCAGCTCCTCCACATTGAGCCTTTGAAGCGGCCCACTGCAGTAGAGGCTCTGAACCATCCATGGGTCCGTGGTGAGACTCCACGACGAAATCATATGGGTAGCACTATTAAAAGACTTCGGGAATTTAATGCACGAAGAAAATTTAGAGTGAGTTCATGTCTTATAGAGTTTAAAGCATGAATTTATTCTCAGTAATATTTAAATATTCAGTTTCTACACCACAGGAGAGAGACTATTTCTACATACATTCTAAGGACTGGCCAGATAATGCTGCTTAGGGAAATATTTGTTGTTTATTCTGAGAACCATACAAAACCAATACACCCTGCAGGCAAATTGAAATACTTTTCTATGTTAAATGAAATGGTACATATAAAAATATTTATACTTTAAAGGGCTGATATAGTAGCCTGAATACAGGGTTTTGATAAAAGAATGCCAATACTGTATATCAAATTTAAATATTTATTGCATATGATAATACAGTCAAACAAATTGTGGCTTAAAAATAACAATATTTTTAACGTGGGTCTATTATTTTGACATAAATTGTGTGTATAGTTCAGAATGTATTGTCATGTGTTGTGTTTGTGACGCAACAAATAACTTCACACCAGTCTGGATCTAGTGAATTTATTGCTCTGTATCTTGCTGAGTACATTCCCATAATCTTCCCTTAAACAGCTGTAGTGACATCAGTTCTGAGGAATAAATGTCTGTTACATAACCTCCCAAAATAAATTGACAGGACTGATATAAGGTGAATAGGGAGGCAAAGAAACCAGTCTTCTTTTACCCACCCAGTTATTCAGAAACCAGGAATTCAGTAAATGTGACATGATATTGAAATATGGGGTACACCATTTTTCATGGTGGTGTTAGCATATCCATCAAGCTGTACAAATAGTATAATTTTCTAATATTTCAGAAGGATTTTAACAACGAAATTAAAAACATAAGACATGATCTGATGTTCAGTGAATATCCAAAGGACTCTGAGAAATTCAGATGCATCGGGAACCATTTCAATCTCATAACCATCTTCAAGAGTAAACATACACGTACACTCCATGGGACATTGATGAAAACTGGACAGTATCAGAATTATCATAGATAACTGATATTATTCATGTATTTATCAATGATTTAACAGCTGCTTGATAGGGTGAACGGGAGCTGAAATAACTGTTTATGTAACTAGTCTATGAGCTGGATGGCCAAGGAATCAGTTTTGATTCCTGGCAGGGGCAAGAGATTTTTCTCTTCTCCACAATGTCCAGACAGACTCTGGAGCCCACCCGGCAGCCTCTTATGCAGTGAGTACTAGGGGCTGTTTCCCCCATACATTTTTGTGCCGTGGTGCTTAATTAAGTTCAGTGATAACTAGGTATATATTTTATCTTTACATTTTGACAGGGTTGGCAGGAAGGTGATATGTGAATGGTGCAATGAAAGAATGTTTAAGGAAGCATTTGTGACCCTTTGAAAAGTATTATTCCAGCATTTTTCTACAACAAATTTAAAAGAAGAAGAGAAACCTCATTTGGGATAGACACACTTCAGACTGAATTCTTGAACACTGGTAATCCCAATCATGAAGCAAGAATGCTGAACACTCAAACACAATTTTGATAAAGTAATGTATAATATGCCAGTCACGGTAGCCGAGTGGTTGAAGGCATGTACTGTCTTCGCTTGCTCAGAAGCTGGGATCATGGGTTCGAATCCCACACAAGGCATGGATGTTTGATATGGGATCATGTTTATTCTGTGATTGTGTTGTCCTATGTTTAGGTAGAGGCCTTGTGATGAGCTGATCACTCATACAAGGAGTCCTAACCCCTGTAAAATGATCATGAAGCTGAAAATCAGAGGCCAGGGCCCAAGGGGGCTGTAGCGTGAGTGAAAAAAAAAGTATAATACATGAGCATTAGGTAAGGCAGGGAAATGATGTAATCTTCACTGATATGTCCACCATAAGATTCAACCGAGATTGGAAGCTGTAAAATATAATGTTTCTTAAGTGGTGGTGCACTTTATTTGCTCAAACGATATTACCACTATTTTCCGATAAACGATGTGTAAATTAAATAATAGTTGTCTGATATAAGATGTACTTCAGGTCAGTATCAAACCTATTGTTTTAATGTCAATTGCTCCAAGAAATATGAATGTTATAAATTTACATTACTAGTAACAAAACTACTGATTTTGAGATCCCTTGTACTCGAGTGCATAAAGTTCAGAATGCCAGTTTTATGCCATTAATTCATGGCTGTAAGTCTATCAAGAAACATACTCATTGTACCCCCTACATCAAGTTTGTGCATGAGAAAGTTGGAGATATTTTTAGAAATATCTTGTGGTTGTAGTTAAAACCACTTATCAAATTCAAGCACAGTTCACTACAGTTCCAACAGCAACCTCCTGTCATCTTTATTATTAAAGTCCTCCGTGAATGGTTATGAACAGTTCCTCCAATACAGAAAGGGTTAAAAAGTGTTATTAGTGAACAGTTAATCAACCTATTTGATGTCATAAATGTATGTGATTTCTTGCAATTCTTCAAATACTCCACACATTTTATGAAGCTCTTATTGTTAAGAAAACTTCAGTGGCCAGAAATCATTAAGAAACAAATCTGGAAGAAATTTTGCACTCATTGCTATTGGTATTTTCTGTTAAACGTTGAAAAGTAGGAAAACGTGTTGAAATGTAAGATTCTCACAGCAGTTGTAAAGATCAGTCATCAGGGATGTGACATCATGTAGTTTGGTGTCCAGGTACCAAGGCAGTTATTGTCAGGAAGACACAATGAAACTGTTTATACATAAGTTCCACATTAGAAAATCCATGAAATTGTTTATTTAATTCAACAGATTCATTGACTTTTAATGCATCATTACCTTAGAGAAAGAAGATACACAGAAGTGTGTCATGACCACGTACCTTGATAAGGCCAGTCTATATACTCGTATATATATAATAAAAAAATATACATCTGTCTGTCCATCCCACCCCCTTTCTCTCAAAATGCATCAAAGGAAAAAAAGTTGTAAGACTAGCAGAATACTAACATCACAGTATATAGTACCTAAAACATCAAGGAATAGCATTCAGCTCCTGGATTCATCATTAATTCAGGCCTGGTCATCATATATTTCGTTTCTTACTAAAAATGTAAGAATCAAATAACCACTTTCCTATCTTTACCACTGGAACTACACTAAATAATTTCTTAACACACATTGTTATATATCACTACAGCTATCAGGCCAAAAAACTGGGCATTCTAATCAGTACCACAGACATCCTAGTAATAATCGCTTTGTTGTCACTCGAACCCATGTGTGTAGCAGCAAAATTAATAGTCTTGTCTCTTGCTCTCTTTCATCCTTGCCAATTTTTTCTAGAATGCACAAATTGGGAAAAACAGGGTGGGACCTGTTGTTGTCTCAATCCCAATGCTTTCTTCATGGAGGAAGTAGGGGGGAATTAAGGTGGTCTGGACTCAAAGGACATGCACATAGCAGCAGCAGAATTAGACATTTTCCTGGGGTTGTCTATATCATTCATTTTTATGATGCACCATTTGGAAGAGACGGGATCAGAGAGACAGATGAACTTCAATGTTCCCTGGGCATAATGCACACGTATAAGAAACATTTACATTAAATCTAGCAATGGCAGAAGATACTTTTGGTATTGTCCCCATGTCCTTGCAGGTATCTGTTCATTTATTTATTTATTTCATCTCTATAGATCATTGTTACATGATATGGGACAAGTCAGTTACTATACATTGGCTGATTACAATAAGAGAATAAAGTTACAATACAATTGTTTACAATAGATCACAGTAGATTACAATAGTTAAGATTTTATATAGTGTGAGGTGGAATCCATATTAGGTCCCCTCGGCACATCGGCTTCCGTATGTCCTATTGTACCTGTACTGGTGATGATGCTTATGGAGAATTTGATGGAATGAGGATTGGCAGGGGAACCAAAGTACTCAGTGAAAACCTGCCCCAGCGCCACTTTGTCCATCACAAACCCCACTTGACTAGACCGCAGCAGTGGGAAGCCAGCGACTAACCGCTTAAGCTATGGCACGGCCTTTGATATAATATTGGTGAATTTGGTGATAGCACTGGTATAACGTTTCACTGTAGACTCTACACTGCAACATCTCATTACATCTGTTCTCCCTTCCTGGTGCAGCTTCTTGGTATCTGCAATCTCTCCAGAGTAGTCCATTCAGGTACATCTCCAACTGTTATCTTGGTTGCTGGAAAAAAGAAAGGAAAACTGCACAGTATGTATTCCCAAAACTGATTATTCATGATGTGGGATTTTGTCATCGATACTCCAATAGACAAACCACTTCGGAAAGTTTGTAGGCCCTGAAAAGGGCCATTCAGCTGGGATGTTTGGCCGGTGAAGTAAGGCTGCGTACACCGGTAGAAATGATGTCGGGTGCAGTGTGCTGACTAATGTTGCGGCAGCTGGGTGAGTTGACTGGTCGCAGTGCAGCAGTTGACGGAAGTTGCCTGGTCGCAGAGCGGGTTGCTGGGAGAAGTCTGGTTGCGGAGTGCGGTCGCTCTAGTGGCGGCAGCTGAGCCAGTTGCCCAGTGAGTCGGGCATGACCGCCAGCGAGTCGAGGCAGCCGAGTTGCCCAGTGAGTCCGGCATGACCACCAGAGAGCCGAGGCAGCCGTCCCTGGCGCAGCGAAGTGCTGATAACTCCGAAGACCAATTGCTCTGTACGAAGTGTGATAGCTGACTGGCTGGTTGTTCACTGACACTGACTGTAGCGAGCAATGTGCTCCACCTTTTATACAATGCGTGATGGAGGAGCAAAATTTGCAGAGCGCTGATTGGCTAACGCGTGTAATGATCTGGATGAGACTAGACAGCAAGTGCTGTATAAATGCGAGCATTGGAAGCAACATGATTGGCTAGGGCGAGTGATGGTGAAAAGTGAGCAGGAAAGTGGGTGCTGTATAAATATGATATGTGGGATGTTCCCACAATGAATTATGTGATTATAATTGATTAGTGTTTCTCTCTCATGAGAGAAACTCATCCACTTTATAAAAACAATGATCGAGCAGGTAAGTTTTCAAAGCGTTTTTGAACTTATATAGTACCGGTATTTCTTTAATATATCGTGGCAGATGATTTAGCTGTTGAAATCCTACATTACTGAAGTTGTTCTTGCATAGACTTGTATTACATGGGACGATGTGCAAGTCATCTTTTTTCCTTTTGTTTTATGAGTGTAATCCTGAGTTGGTTGTGAAATCATTCGAATTGGATTTTATGTATATTAGAGTTTCGTATATGTACAAAGATGGTAGAGGTAATATACGTAACGATTTGAAAATTTGTTTACAACTAGTTGTTTTTGGGACCTGCATCATAGCTCTTCTGTAATTTAAAGATCAATTTTGCATTTACAGAGTTGCCCCAAAATATCAGTCAGTATGATGACAAAGATTGGAAATGAGCATAATATAACGTGCGGACACTCACTCTTCTAACTACCCTTAGGCCAAAACATACTTTACATAAGTTGTTCGCTAGCTTTTGCGTATGCATAGTCCATCTTAGATGCTTATCTAGCCAGACTCCCAGAAATTTTGCTGTCATGATTCAATTGTTCTCATGATCCCAATGCCATTCTTACGAAGAAAGTAATGGGGAAATAAATGGGCTTGGATTCAACCCCATGCAGTTCTCAAGTGTCAATAATTTTATATCAGTGAGTATGTTTTGGGGGGTTTTTGCTGTACTTTTAGCCTGATCTCAGTTGCTGCACCTAACTGAAATTTAATGTAGTTTCTGTCAACCCTTCCAAGTGAATGCTGAAATAGTATCTTAGTTCAGGCTAATTCTTGTCCAGTCCTTCCCAATTCATCATATATAATCCTAATCTCATCTCATTTAAATTACAAATAAATAAAATATAATCAATTTTCATTACAGGCAGCAACACATGCTGTGTTGGCAACACACAGAGCCATGTACCTCATATCTCCAGAGCGAAAGACAGCTAACAAGAACTCGCCTCCCTCCAACCAGTTTTAATGCGTTGTGTAATATACTCTTGTACAGAAGTGTTTATGTGACATTTGTAAATATCAGCCTTTTCATTCCACCTATCAGTAACAATTTCAAGATTAATTACATCCACCAAACTCAAAGAAAAGCAGCAGATGTTAAGTTGTATACATCATCAATTTAATATACAAAATTCACAGAATATTTCTCTGCTTTACATGTATAAAAACTGCATGAGCACAAAATGTGTAATTTTTACCTGCAAGAATATCAGTTTACAAAATTATCTCTTAAATGATAGTGTTACATCAAACAGAATCTAAGCACATAATATCCCAATAGGACTGTGCAAACTTACAAATATAAATTTGGATAATGAAAATGTCAGGAAGTGGAAATAGCTGAAGATTGTGCAGTTCTTGGTCTCATAAAGGCTGGATTCTGTTTAATTTGAAAACCTGGCCACAAGTCTGCACTACCATGTTCATACATTTAATTCCATAAAAATTTCATAAGAAATCAATAACTATGATTCTAAGACTGATGGTACCAAATTTCACTTTTTAATTACATAAACTGCAAGTCATCATGTTATTAATTTGTCTTTTAGACAAAAAAAGATGTCAATAAAACCTGTATATTTATAAGGGATCCATTTTTATACAGTCTTTCAGGATACTACACTGAGTCATTCTTACGGTGTTTCCACATCAGATGTGCAAATGATCACTGTGATGAAAGTATTGATACAACTGTTTTTTCATAATTCAGTAAAAATGAATTTTGCTGAGATTACATCCCTCTGTGTTACATATTTTATTTCATTGTGAATTAACACTACACAAATGAGTGTATGTAACTGTTCATAACTGCAAAGATTACAGTATTGGGCTTAATAATGTTATTAATTTAGTTCATTCTATGATATTTTTGTATCTGATGAAGCAACAGTTTTCTGAGTAGCAGCATTCTACACCAGTATCAATTACAGTTGATATAGAAATGGTTTACTGACATGCATATCTTCAATCCTTGAAGATGGTAAAACTTTCATTTTAAGATGCACTGTATAATAGGAGGAACATGGTAATTGAAATAGTTGTAAATGGTCATGTGATTCTCAGTCAGTAGCTGAACCTCACTTACTGCATTTCAGATGAGGCATGAAGCAACTCAGTATAAAAAGTTTATGTAGTAGCATTATTTAGATGCATATTAATTTAATTACTTTTCATCATGAAGCATTTATATCTCAATTGTGAGTAAACATTATCTTGTGTTTTAGTCACAAGTTAGACCTTCACTGAGATAGTGACATCATTATATGTTACCATTAACAAACATGGCAATGGGGCACAACTTGGAAATTACAGATGACAACTGAATGTACAGTCTGTACTAGTAATGAATTGAAATGAACTAAAATTAAATATCCATGGATTTTAATGTTACCATCCCATGACAGATATTACAAATCCATCAAGTGGTTTGGGAGCTGAAAAATGTAGATGTATTGACACAAATGTCCCCAAAACATGCATACACATGAACAGCTGGCTTCATATAAACTTGGATTGCACAGAATGTCTGACCTCATTACATGACTCACAATTTTATGGAATATGTATGTTAGAGAATGTAGATTGCTCATCTTGAACAGAAATATTTACTGCATTCTGTAATAGGGAACAAAACTCGAATGAAAGTAAGTAAGATAAGGTAAAGTTGTCCCTGTGCATAACTATTTAAGCGCAATGCCATGAAAATGTACGGGGGAGTGCGCCACATTTTAAAAATTTATGTATGTGAAAAAGAGAAATGATGAAGGAAAAGAATTGCCGCATTTAATTCCTAAATGAACATTTAAGAGGTAAACTGGATACCACCAGCAAAAAAAAAATATATGCAGTATATGCCTACATGTAAACAATAAAATAGAAATATTTGTGACATAAAGCGGAAGTAAATGTCTTTATATTAGTCATAGAATTTAATAAAAACTTCTTACTGAAAGTGTGAAGCAGTTGCTTCATCTTGGCTCGAGTACACTCGTGTATTTTGGGGCCATGAACTGTACACCAACTATATGACAATGAAACTATTATATCAGTGATGTCTGATCTCTTATTTGATAACAGAATCTGCAACACTGACATTAGTTGTTTCTGCCAGTGCAAGATCAAAAGAGAACAGTAGTTCAAAACGTTACTCACAGCTTCTAATGTAATTCTGTAATAATTTTCATATTAGTTCTTGCCATGTATTTCCCTTACAGTTTTATTATACATGAAAACAAGTTATTAAGCTTTTCTTCTATTACAATTCAGATTATTTTAAATGATATGTACATTGTACTATAAAATACAGCAGTAATTTTGTGTAGTCTATTTTTATTATTCCTCAAGAATATATTTAACATTTTTTAGTTATCCAGAATTTAATACATATTGCCTGTGCATAGGCTACTTAATATGTAGTGCATTACAGTACTGACAAATTTCAGGAGTAGTCAATATATTCAATAAATGTGCTTTTTATTTCTGTTATCTTGCATTCACCAATAAAATCTTGCAAGGCCAGGCCACATTTTTCACAGCCATGTACATAATAATGTTAGCCACCCTAAATGCCACTTATTAAGGAAAAAGACCAGACACACCTCATTTAGCGCTTATCTGGGAAAGAATGGATTTGAATGCTGAACTGAACAAAATCTTAAATGGAAGAAATGTAGCACTGAGATTACTGACTTGAGATCATTGAAATTGAACACTAAATGATTGTAAAGCTTGAATCAAGAAACATTAATGGAGCTTCCACTGTATTTTCAGTAAGTCATTTGAGATATATAACAAACATTACAACAAATTCTGATAATTGTGTTTATCAAAGAATACCTCCTTTGTCTCGTATTCTATTTCAGCAGCTTAGTTCTACACTATATGGGATAATTCTTTGTTTACTGCCTGTTTTACTTCCTGTTTTTTATACAAAGATCTTTATGAGAATTACATGCCAAGATATTATAGGTATTCCCTTTCTAGTAGTTAGTTGCATGGACATGATATATACTTGTATACGATCTTAATTCCTAGAAGACCAATCACTCACAGAGCTAAGCGCTTCTTGAGAAGCCGCCAATTGTGCATCTACTCAAGAACTTCCCGGCATTTTATGGACCCTTAAGGATCATTACTGTGTTCACAAGAGCCTCCACTGGTCCCTAAACTGAGCCAGATCAATCCAATCCATACCATCCCTTCATATATCTCTAAGATCCATTTTAATATTGTCCACCAACCTAAGCCTTTGTCCTCCCAGTGGTCTCTTTCCATCTGGCTTTCCAACAAATACCCTATATGCATTCCTGTTCTCACACATTCGTGCTACATGTCCTGCCCACCTCATCCTCCTTGACTTTATCATTCTAATTATGCTTGTGGAAAAGAGTACAAGTTATGAAGCTCCTCAGTATGCAGTTTTCTCCAACCTCCCGTCACTTCATCTGTCTTTGGTTCAAATATTCTTGTCAACGCCTTGTGTTTGTGTACCAGCAGGCATTTCAGGAATAGAAGAAGGGAAAGACAAAATTGATGAGCTTGCAATGAGCAGTAAGAACAAGAACTTTAGAGACTTGTATGGAGGAATAAATGACTTTAACTGAATGGGATACATCAGCTGTAGGTCTATGCTTATGTGAATCTACTGGGTGATAATATAGATACAATAAAGAGAATGAAAAAAACTTTAACTGACGCAAGTAAGGAGGTTGGTCTATAAGTAAACACAGAGAAATTTAAGTATATGTTGCTACCTCAGATGTTTTGAAAATGTGGTATAGTTCAGATATTTGGGAGCGATGATGATAATTCAAAACCTGATTCAGGAGGAAATTGAAAGGAGATTGCACTTAGGTAATGCTTGCTACTATTCAGTCCAGAACCTTTTTTGTCTTCTTGTCTACTGTCTGAAAACATAAAAATTAGAATATACAAAACTATAATTTTGTCTACGGTTCTGGTAACACAGCTGTACGAAAATTTGTATCTTCTCTTCGAATTTGAGGTCCTACAAGTTCCACTAATAAAGAAAAACTTTCAATGTTCATTCTGTAAAATGTTTTGAACAGTTCTGTATCCTGATTAAGTTCTTTCGAAACAATATGAATACCCGAGTTTAAATTGTCGCGAAAGAACGGGTTTACCCAATGTTCCCTTTTCTCTCGTCTTCTCCTCTTACACCGTCACAACCACCATCATATCATTATTATTTGACATCACAGTAGACATCGTAGAGATCTCCACTAAATGGGCGGGCAAACATACGCACACTTCCCTTGAGGTTGCTTGAGGTGGTGTGACCAACTGATCGACTGTAAGTTTCCTCAGCGTGCGCCTGCTAATTTGGAAACCAGTCGCCTGCTTGAAATCGGCGATATTTCTCAGATTGCGCGGTTGCGTTGCGGTTGCCAGGTTTCTTGGTTTGCCCTCGGGCTGAAGTTTTCTCCACTTGCGTTGTCATCTAGCCTGATCGCACGTGCACGTGCTTTCCAGTGGAATATGGTGAAGTTATTGGGGTAAGCCGTATCGGCCTGGATGTCGGAAGTTGACGAACACGTGTAATATTCGTGAAGTGGTGAGAGAATTGTTGAAGGTTAGTTTATGAATAATATTGTTTAGTCGTGTTGCACATCATTTACTGTTGAACAAATGTGATTGATTCATCGTCGTGCGTGCAACGCGTCCTTCTAAAACTAATTTGAAAGTTTCTTACATACACAGGATGTCTTTTCAACCTTATTTAAATGCCTCTGTACATTGTGCAGTAGGTTTCAACTGACATTTGTCATCATCGGGTGTTTAAAATTGTCGGTGGAAACTGCTTTGCTTTCGTTTTGTGGTTTTAATGTTCGGTGTGTTAGAACTACAAAACGAAAGCACAGCAGTTTCCATCAGTAAGTGATGGTGACCAGTGCTGGTCCAAACGTGTTGTGCAAGATACAGAAGCATGTAAATAAGGCTTAAGAGACTCATTGTGTGTATGTAAGAAACTTTTAAATAAATTTTAGAAGGACGCGTTGCACGTAAGACGGAGAATCAGTGATATTAGTTGAATAGTAATGAATTTATTTTTTAAATTAGTTCGTTACAGTAAGTGTGAGTAAACTTTTCTTCGTATAGACAGGTTAAAGAACTGGAGGAAAACAGTTGAGTTTTGTTGATCTAGTGAGATTGATAGTTTGAAAGCTGAAGACAACTGATGCATGTAAATATTCATTCACTCCTTGGATTAATTGCTGAGTCATGAGGTGGCGTTAACAGTGTTGTGAAGCCAGGCCCAAACACAAAACTGAGCAACAGACCTGAGGTATCAAAAGCTATTCAGTTGAAGATAGAGAGTAGCCAAAACTTGTGAACAGTAAGAAATACAATGTGTTTTTATATGGGAAGGAGACATTGCTTGCAGATTGAGTCCAGTCAGTCACAGGAAATGGATACTTTATTACAGTACTTTCAAATACAAACTCATGCAGGTGTAGTACATTAGACCTGTATAGAGGAATAAATGAATTAAAAGTGCTTACCAACCTAGAAATAACGTGGTGACGGTTGAGAATGGTGATCTGCTTGCAGATTCTCACAACATTTTGAATAGGTGGAAGCACTACTTCTCTCGGTTATTGCATATACATAGTGTCAATGATGTTAAACAGATAGAAATGCGTACAGCTGAGCTGTTAGTACCTGCTCATAGTTGTTTTGAGGCTGAAATTGCTATTACGAAGTTGAAAAGTTATAAATTGACAGGTAGTGCTCAAATTCTGGCAGAACTTATTCAAACTGGAGGTGAAACATTGCGGTCTGAGATCCATAAGCTCATTAATTCTATTTGGAATAAGGAAGAATTGCCAGATAAGTGGAAGGAGTCTATTATTCTACCAATTCACAAGAAGGGCAATAATACTGACTGTAGTAATTATTGTGGCATATCACTGTTATCAGCTTCATACAAAATATTACCCACTATCCTTTCAAGGTTAAGTCCATATGTAGAGGAACTTACTGGGGATCATCAGTGTCGTTCCAATGTGATCAACTGCAGATTTATTTATTTCGTCTCTATAGGTCATTGTTACATGATATAGGACAAGTCAGTTACTGTACATTGACTGATAACAATAAGAGAATAAAGTTACAATACTTACAATTATTTACAGTAGATTACAATAGTTAAGATTTCATATAGTGTGAGGTGGAATCCGTATTAGGTCCCCTCAGCATGTCGGCTTCCATATGTCCTATTGTACCTGTACTGATGATAATGCTTATGGAGAATTTGACGGAATGAGGATTGGCAGGGGAAACCGAAGTACTTGGGGAAAACCTACCCCAGCGTCATTTTGTCCATCACAAATTCCACTAGACTAGAGCGCAGCGGTGGCAAGCCAGCGACTAACCGCTTAAGCTATGGCACGGCCTTTGAGATAATATTGGTGAATTTGGTGATAGCACTGCTATAACGTCTCACTGTAGACTCTACACTGCAACATCTCATTACATCTGTTCTCCCTTTCTGGTACAGCTTCTTGGTATCTGCAGTCTCTCCAGAGTAGCCCATTCAGGTACATCTCCGACTGTGTTATCTTGGTTGCTGGAAAAAAGAAAGGAAAACTGCGCAGTATGGATTCCCAAAACTGATTACTCATGAATTATGTGATTATAATTGATTAGTTTTTGTCTCTCATGAGAGAAACTCATCCACTTTATAAAAACAATGATCGAGTAGGTAAGTTTTCAAAGCGTTTTTGAACTTATATAGTATCGGTATTTCNTCAAATTATCCCTCTTTGTAAAGCCCATTAGAATGATTATTGCCAAAAAATTTTTCATTTCTGCTGAAATGACATCCGCCCACTTCAACACCTTATAGGTACTGTCATACGCCTCACGGTGTTGGAGATAGTATCTGTTGGTCTCCTGACACAACATGCCAAAGAAACTATCTCCAAAAAACAGTTCAGCTACTTCAGACACTTGCGTAGGGTCCGATGGCATTTGTCTCACCCCTGGAGCACCAGTAAACTTTCCCAAATTGGGTGTTTTTTCTGCTGTACCCCATGTGGCTGTCCCCGCAATGCTAGCACTCGCACTTTCATCAGAGCTCTCACTGTCACTTTCTGTTCTGGTCACAATATTTTGGGGGTCACTGCCACTGACACTGCCCTCGCTATCAGAAGACGAAGCAGTTGGCAAGTCAGATAACTCATCGGAGATCAAATCAGATTTCTTCTCCGAAAGCTCACACGGCCTTCAACTGCTTTCGTCTCTGAGCCATGGTGACACTGAGAATATCTTGCCTCACACGTAGAAGCTTCGACTTGAACAACGGGACTTTTCTTTAGAGTGAGAGGGGAATAGAGAGTGGTCACGTTGCTGACTCGGAAAACAAACATTCAGAAGGTCAGCTACTCAGTACTTTTACAGACACATGGCCACCAAAGCGAGGAATAGTGTGTTGCAACATAACATGTCCTAAAATCATAAATCTAGGCGACCGGTCTGCCACGTTTAAAACCCAAACGCCTAGGCCTAGGCATCCGGTCCGCGAAGTGTTAACATTCAGAACACCTATTGTAATAATGGTTTCCAAATTGTATCGATGTCCCTCTGATGATGGTCTCTAAGGACCAAAACATGTAAGGGCATGAAGAATTGAAATAAGAGAAACTTCACCAGTCACAAGGGATGGAATTATTTTTTCTTTTAATAAGGTTTATTCAGTTTTCCATGGCAGGGAATGATCATAAAATTTGATTCTTGTGATAAGTAATGAGATGTTAAACATCTCTGTGTATCCATATGTACTGGATTGGAAGTTCACACATAAACCAAACTGAAATGTTCTGTGATTTAAATAAAGCATATAATGCATTAAACCATGGAGTTCTACTTGCTGAATTAAATTAATATGGAATGAGAGGCACTGTGAACTCATGGTTTGAATCATATTAATACACCAGAAACAAGCCATTTAAAAAGTATATTTTAATAGGAACCTAAATAAAATATTTTTCATCTTTAAGAGGAGATGCCAAAGGGTTCAGTTCTTCAGCCAGTATTCTTACTATTAGTAAATGACCTGCCACGACTCAAGGTTAGTTTTATTTGCAGATGATTACAAACATTCCAGTAACAACAGAGTATGAACATATGCTACAACAGAAAGTAAATAGAGTTATGAATCACTTGCAACTCATGGTTCTGTGCAGATAGTTTTATAATATATACTGAGAAAACAACAACAGTATCTTGCCATACCAGACAAAAAGGATACACAGTAGAACCAAATCAAAATTTGACAATAGGATGTTACCTGTAAACCAGAAACAAAGTTTTTAGGCATATGTATTAGTGAAAATATGAAATTGGATGGAAATGCAAAGTCGCCAAATGCCTTACTCAGTCAATTTAGTTTCATGATAAGTCTCTTAAGGATATAACAGACCAACATATTACAAACAGTATTTATTTTGCACATGTAATGCTCATTTGAGATGATTTAATTTTCTATGATTTTGATACTGAAAGCCAAAGTGTTGTGAAATTGCAAAACGGAATTATAGAAATAATCAGTGGTGTAGGAAGATGTATGTCATGCAGATCACTTTTTAAAGATTTAGATATACTTCCAGTAGCTTGCATTATATGTGGAAGTTATACAGAGTGGGGCACAGAAACTTCCTTTATGTGAAGACACATTGTGAAGGGAGGGGAGGTCGCAGAAAAGTGGGGATAGGCTCAGCGAAAGCAGCAGTCGCAGAAGTTTCTATCTAATACCCCTCAGTAGGAAACATGAGGTGGACGAGTGAGCAGCGTGCGTTTGCTGTCGAAGCCTATTTTTCGAACAACCATTCCTATGTGGAGGTGCATCGTGTGTTCTGTACTCACTTGGGAATTAAGCCCAGAGGTCTAGTTCCCCCGACCGGAAATCGATTGTTTTGTGGGTAGAGAACTTTAGAATATTATATTTAAGCATCCTGTTGCACTCTACACGATAAATGATACAAACTCCGTCCTAAGTGCAAACGATATACAGGGTGTCCCAGGAGGAATGTGCCAAACTTCGGGAGGGTGTTCCTTATGTTAAAGTATGCCGATATAACCCAAAACACCTATGTCCAAAGTTGAACGGTTACGGAGATAATGGCCAGAGAAGTGTCAAACTTTGACCGGGGTTACACACTTGTTGATTACAAAATAGATATTAAAACTGGCAGGAATATGTGGATTCTGTAACGTTAATAATGTACGTAACATCAAACTAACTTGTGAGTGACATGAAGCCATAAAATTGAAGTACAAAAAACTCGCATGCCATCTCAAAGTTGTCGTTAAGAGTTCCAAGCACTGTACATGACACATGAATGGTAAGCGATGACGTAACGTGCTGACTGCGCGTTCTGATA